TCTCTTCCCCTCAGGACCTTGCCACACTGCTGGAGCAGATTGGATGTCTAAAGTACCTGCAAGTGTTCGAGGAGCAGGATGTGGACCTTCGTATCTTCCTGACCCTCACTGAAAGCGACCTGAAGGAAATTGGCATCACGTGAGTCCCCTAGTGCCGCTCCCTATCCCCACTCACCTCAGCCATCCTTCCAGCCTGTACTCCAGGAGGTAGGACAAGCAGCCTGTCTAGACAGGCTTTTCTTCCAAGTAGGTCTTTGTGCCCACATAGCTCCAAGATGGCCTTGCTGCTGTATACTGGACCTTTGGGCTTTGTTTTTGTCAGTTTGCTTTTTTGTGATTTTTAACTTTTTTTTGTAACTGTCACAGTTGTGGAGTTAGTATTTTTATAGTATAGGTTTATTGGATATAAAATCTCCACACTGTGTAATATGCCTTTTGTTCCAAAACATTCCATATACAAAATTATTGTTTGTGTCTTGGCTGTAACTCCTCATGGGTGACTCACACTTGAAGTGCTCTCCCCCTAGATGGCTCTGGTGCAGCAGGCTCTGATCTCAGCAGTGCTTCCTCAGTGTTTGCCTGTCTGGGAATGTCTGACTTCTCTGCTGCACTGTGGAAGGACAGTTTTTCCAGGTAAAGGACTCTCAGTGACAGCTGTTTGCTTTGGCACTCTGGCTACCTCAGCCTTCCAGAGTTTTGAATGAGAATGTGCAGGTACTTTTACTGAGGATCCCTACATGGGACAGGCTGCTTTTGTTTTGTTGCTCCAGGATTCTGTATGTCTCTAGTTTGGCTGTGTGTCCTCTTATTTATCATCTATGTGGAGTTCACTGAGCTTCACGGTTGTTCATGTCTTCCATTAGTCATGGAAGTTGCTAGTTGCTAGCTCTTCAGACTGTATCTGCCCTTCCTGTCTTCGTGAGGTATAGGAGAGACGCCCCCATGTGGTCCTAAGCTCTTGTGGTTTTCAATCTCATTCCTCAGACTGAAATTCCATTGTGCTCCAGTTTGCTGGTTCCTTCCTTTGCTTGCCTTGGGCTGCATCTGCCTGATTTAGGCTTCATGTCCATTACCATACTTCTTTATGTTTTGCGTTTTTTCTATGTTGTATTTCTTTTTTTGTTTTTTTGTTTTTTGAGACAGGGTTTCTCTGTGTAGCTTTGGAGCCTATCCTGGCACTCGCTCTGGAGACCAGTCTGGCCTCGAACTCACAGAGATCCGCACTCACAGCACTCTGCCTCCTGAGTGCTGGGATTAAAGTTGTGCACCACCAATGCCCGGCTTGTATTTCCATTTTTATTGAGTATTTTAACATCATCTTTTAGGTCTTTGATTGTCTTAAGATGGTGTTTCAAGCCTTTGTCTAGCAGATCTGCTGCAGGGCTTTCTTGGAACTTCTATAGTTTGATTTCCTCTAAATGAGCCATGTTTTACTTGTCTTTTAATTTTATTACCAAAAATGGATATTTAAGTCTCATGAAATAGTATCCATCAAAGTCAGGACCTCCCCTTTCCCTGGGATTTACAGGTTTTGTTTTCATCTTGTTGTTGGCTGCCTCTGTGCAGAGGACTAGCTGGAGGTTGAAACCTGTAGGTCCCCTCGAGCCTGTACCTTTCCCTAGGCACATCATGATGCTAACTTTCCATCAATCTGCAGTTACTTTGAAACAAGCTGCCCCCTTTTTTTTTTTTTTTGGTTTTTTGAGGCAGGGTTTCTCTGTGTAGCTTTGGAGCCTATCCTGGCACTCGCTCTGGAGACCAGGCTGGCCTCAAACTCACAGAGATCGCCTGTCTCTGCCTCCCGAGTGCTGGGATTAAAGGCGTGCACCACCAACGCCCGGCGAGACAAGCTGCTTTTGTATAGTCAGGTGATTCTGAACTCTGAACTGTCGTGTCGTGCCATCCTCCAAGTGCACCAGTGTTCTGAGCATGCAGGTACTTCCAGTGTCCTAGTCTTCACTGTCTGGCTCCTACACTGGAGCTGCCCCTTAGACACCACTACTCACTCTCCTACCCTCATCTCTTCACACAGAGAGCAAGTGGGTGTGGCTGATAGCAATGGCCCTCAGTAACCACTGTACTTGCATTCCATGTTTGCCTATGACAGGTATTCTAAGTCTGGGTGGTTGCTGCTATGCAGAGCTGAACTTAGCCTCAGCTGGCTGTACTCACAGTCAAAGCCTGCAGTGACCTCCAGGCTGCCAAGTGGCCCATGCAGATTCTGCTAGTGCACTTGTCTGGAGCAGAGAGATTCCTGGAGATCTCCTTTGAGAGCACAGACATGGTTGTCCAAGCCTGGAGCTAGTGATGGTGGAGGCTTTTTGGACACTTGTGTTTCTGTTCTGCAACCTCTCTCCTTCAGAGTTAGGTGTTCCCTAGTGACTGGCCTTGGTGGCAGGTTGGTACCAAGGTCCATGTTCATAACAGAAGCTGATGAGAACCCTGATTCACTCTTTCAGGTTGTTTGGTCCTAAAAGGAAGATGACCTCTGCCATTGCCCGCTGGCACAGCAGTGCCCGCCCCCCTAGTGATGCCCTGGAGCTGGCCTATGCTGACCGGCTAGAGGCTGAGATGCAGGAACTCGCCATCCAGCTGCACAAAGTAAGTGGAGAGGTCCAGGTGGCTGTGGGCCCAGCAGGCAGAGTTACACCTTTATAGCAGAGGAGATAACGTCAGTAGAGGACTGGAGACAGGAAACTTGAAGCACATGGATGTAATAGTCAAAAGTCAGATGAATGTAGGAGGAAGAACAAGTAGCCCATACAAAATCTCGAATCTGTAGGATTGAGCCAAAGGAGCCATTCCTAGAATGGGCTGCAGAGAAGCAGACAGGCAGCCTTATAATAGACTCTGCCCTTTGGGGGAATCATCAAGCACGGGTCTTGCCCTCCTGGCTTAGGCCCTCTAGCCTGGTATTTGCCTGCAGTGCTGTGAGGAGGCAGAGGCCCTTCGTGGCCAGGTGTCCCAAGAGCAGGAATTGCGGGCTGTAGTAGAGAGCTGCCTCCTGGAGCAGGATAGTGCCCGAAAGGACATCCATGCCCAGCTGCAGGAGGCCCAGAGCCTGGCCAAGGATGCTGCCCTTGTCCTGGACCAGCTGCGGTAAGTGGGCTTACACACTCAGGTAGTCACCTTCTGCCCCCACTTGTCATTGTCCCTTCCTAATCCTCTAAGTAGGTGGGAAGTTGGGGGAAACCATAGTGCCTGTACTATTTCTGGGGCTCTGTCTCCCACGGCGCAGACCCAGGCTTGACTAAAAGCAGGCTGGAGATCAGTGTGACTGATTGGTGTGGGACTTCCAGGGCTGGCTGCAGGGCTGAGGTGGTTTACATTGCCCTTTTTGGGTTGGGGTTGGCAGCAGGGTCTCTTTGACACTAACACTTGGTTATATGTCTGGCAGGGCTTGTCAGGCTGAGCTGTCAGCTCGAGTGAGGCAGGACCAGTCCCCTAGTGAAGCTACCCTAAGCCCACCCTTTCTCTCAGCAGGTAAGAAGAGCAACAGCCTGGCTTTGGACCAAGTCAAGGGTGGTGGGCAGGAAGCCTTAAGTTCCAACCAGTGGGCTCTGCATGGCTGTTACAATGGCTACTCTGTCTCCAGAGCAGCCCACTTACGACAAGAGATGCACTATTTAGGGGAGTGGATGGCAAGTGTAAGGGCCTATGTTTCATGGCTGAGTACTGTTCTTTAAGGCCTCTAGTGGAGTTGGGTAGCAGGGGCCCCCGGGGTTGAGCTCTACTTAGACATGCCTGGTGTGGTGACTCACAAATGTGCAGGGAGTGAGGACACACATACGTGTGGCCAACTTGCCCTTTTGTACAACAGATTCCAAAGGCTGGCCTAGTCCCCTGCAGGCTTTGAGCCTCCCTGAGTTGTCAGGGGCCCTGGAAGACTGTGTCCATGAGATGGGTAAGTCTTCAGGAGGGCAGCCGAAGCATTAATCTCCCCCTTCCCAGACTCTTTTCTAAGAACTGAGGCTGACAGCTGCCATACCCAGTCAGCTCAGACCCCTGGGAAGTCTCACCCAAGTCTGACCCCAGGGCCACCTAGTCATAGTGCCCTGAGTTTCCTTTCTTTCCTGCTGCTGAGACTTGACACAGAACACTAATTGGCCCTATCCTTAGGGCAGGCATTATGCTCTGTAACACAGAGCCTGGAGAAGCTACAGACGCTGAATGGGAAGAAATGGCGGGAACCGTAGCCAGGAGGGATGGTGAGAGTACCCTCATGCCCATGGGCACCCCAGAAGACCTAACCTTCCTGTCTTCTTACCAGGCTTTTCTTTTTCTCTTTAGATTCTGACGTTGGGTGATGGATCCACCCTGAAGTTATATGTGCCATGCAAGACAGGGCAGTGAGCAGATGGCTGCAGCCGCCCAAGATATGGAAAACCAGCCCAGGGAGCAGCTTGTGGACAGGAGGACAGGACTTCAGTCCCTGTCTGGGCAGCTTGGGCCAGCCCTGAGGCAGGATGAAGGGCCTGGCTCCCAGGTCCTGGTGAAAAGGCCCCAAGCGAGTAGGCAGCTCTGGCCCAGTCGGAACTGTGAAGAGTGTGTGTCCCTGCACATGCAGGTGCCATACTGAGGTTTGTTTGGTCTTAAGGTTAGGTCTGGGTGCCTAGAAAATGTGCTGTTTGTTGGAAAATAAAATTCTTGTAAGTTGGTGGGGGCTCATTTATGATCATAAGACATGTATTCCTGGCTGTCACCAGTAGACCCTAATAACCCATCTATAGCCCCTTCTGATCTCCACATCCCTTGCTCGAAGATCTCTCCTCTGCTTGGTGGCTGTTCTAAGCCCTAAAATCACTATTTCTGGACAGGCTGGAAGTCAGCCAGCAGTGGCATTCCTATTCTGTGGTGGTGCTGTTGTACCTCTGCACATGAAATCTGTGCTTCATTTATGCTACCACCACAAGGTCTGAACTCAAGCTACTAGCCAGATTGGTTGCCCTCAGGGTTCAAGCTGGTCATGTTCTTGGACCCATGCCACCCAGAAGCAAACGTAAGCATCAGAGGAATGGCTTTATTGTCTTCTTGCTTCCTCAATTCCACAGAGTTGAGCCAAAGCCCTGCTGGGGAGAACCAAGTCATGTGGGGCATAGCCACTCTGAAACCAACCCACAGTTCACACACCAAGAAAGAAAAATCTAACAGAAATCCAGCAACAACCCAAATGAACAGCCTATTGCAAGCTGGGCCAAGGGAAGGAGTGATCTAACACGGGTCACCTCCATTGAATGAAATCCCTGACCAGTCCAGGAACCATGTACCATCAAGTCGTTGCCTTGGAAAAGTGGGCTCTACCTGGGTCTCCAGCAGTCACAAACAGACTCACACAGGACAGTCTGAGCCCTGGGATGGGTGACGGCATACTCAGCTTGAAAAGTCAGGCCCAAGCTACCCCACTGAACAACCTGAGAGAGTAGCTAGGTCCCAGGGACTGCTTGGGACAATAAAGATGAACAGCTGCCTGCTTGTCCCTTGCAGTCAGAAAGGGTGCAAAACCAAACAAGCTAGAAGGCACGCTTCTCGGGAATCCCAGGGCCTGTGGGCAGAGACAGCTAAGGGAGGGCAAGAACCGCACAGGAACCTCCTCAGGATGAGGCTGGGAGCAGCTTTTCTAGGGCCTTCTTCTGTTTTTCTGTGGCCGAGGCCAAGGCCTCTGCCAGCTTTTCCGAGGGCATCATGTTGAGTACCTTAAGGGCAAATAGGAGCTGGTACTTGGCAGTGCTGACGAAGGCATTGCTCAGGAAGTTAGGAAAGCCGCCTACTCGATCCTTCTGGGTGTACAGTGGGACGCGTACAAGGCCCAGCACCTGTGGGACAGAGGGTATGGGGTGGGACTGGGCTCTCCTTATAGAGGTAGGACCCTGGCAGAGATGTTTGTCAAAGAGATGGGGAGACCCAGGCAAGGCTGGTAGCAGTAAAGCCTATGAACTCCCCACCCTGTTGGCCAGCACCCATGATACCTTGCCTCACTCCAAATCCCTTAGACCAGAGGATCCACAAACCCCAAAAGCTTTTTACATTACCTCTCAGGAGACAACCCCAAGCCCTACAACCAAGCCTTTTGGGTCTTTCCTCAATTTCCCAAGTAGTTCCTGACATCCCTTTATGCTAGTGATCCCATGCTCCACTCCCAGGATTGACAATGGCAGGCAGCAAGGCAAATGTAAACAGCCCCAGACCCAGAACCCAAGTCTCTCTTCCCACTCAGCATGGCCAGGGTGAGGACCCTGAGGGGCACTTGTTACCACATCGGTGCCTTCTGTGGTGCCAGAGCCAAACCTCAGGAGTGGGGATGGGGGCGGTCCCCAGGCAGTGGTCCCACCTCCAGACCGTGGTCCCGCGAGTGCACTGCACTGATCTCCACAGCATGCAGCTGCTCCAGTGTCAGCTGCCGTGCATATAGATGTGCCACCACGCGTTGTGGACCCTCAGTCAGATGTGAGCTCAGGTAGTCAGCTTCGGTAAGGCGCAGGCCGCCCAAGCCCAGGCCTAGCACCCGGTTCAAGCCGTCCTCTAGCGACCAGAAGCGCCGGTCCACAAAACCCCCGGGGAAGCCCAGCAGCCCGTCGAAGCGCATCTGCATCTGCAAGGTTAAGTCAGATCATGACGTGGGGTCCACAGGGCACCCCAAGCCTGTGTCCGCCCGCTCACCCACCCAGATCCTCACCAGCACTGAAAATCGCATGGGAATACGACCGAAGAGCTGCCCCGGGTTCGCGGCATACAGCATGGCGTGGCACGAGTGGCTCCAGCCGGGCCCCAAGCGCATTGCTTCCTCCCGGCTGATCTGCTTTAGCTCTGGAACCGTCGCGGTCGACATCTTGATACGCTCCAGGCCCACCGCCCAAATGAGCATGCGCGACCCCGCCCACGACACACAGGCCCAATCCACGTGCATCCACGTGCATAGGCCCGCCCCCACCAATCCTGAGAGCCTGAGGTTGAACCCAGAGATGACTGGAGTCCCTGGTGGGAGGGTGGAGTTTGCCACCCTCCAAGCTGCATAGGAGACCTCTCCCACCGACCAGAAAACTACAATTCCCAAGATGCACCGCGTGAAGCCAGGTCATCAGAGGGAGGTACAATGAGCATCAATACGTGCCATCTCTGAGTCCCGGACAACCCTGAGAGGACCACTGCAACTCTCAATTTTCACCTCATCTCTGAGGGTGCAGATTTTCCCGAGCCTCGACCCTGAGCTCGTAGCTCCACCATTTGTCCTATGAAACCACGCCTTTAAAGATTTAAACATCGGACAGAACTAGAAAAACCAAACCTGAGTGAGGTAACCCAAAACTAGAAAGACAAATATAGTACCTACTCCTAAGTGGATACCAGACATAAAGCAAAAGATACCCAGCCTACAATCCACAACCTCAGAGAAGCTAGAACCCTCCTCCAGAAACAGATGGAAGCAGATGCTGAAATCCACAACTAACCATTGGGCCAGGCTCCTGGAGTACAATTGAAGAGAGGGAGGAGCAATAATATGAACAAAGGAGTCAAGACGATGGGGAAACCCACAGAATCAGCTGACCCGAGCTAGTGAGAGATCACTGACTCTGGTCTGACAAATGGGGAACCAGCATTAGACTGCACTAGACTCCCTTAATATAGGTGACAATGGTGTGACTGGGACAATATATGAGGCCACTGGCAGTGGGTCCAAGTTCTGACACTAATGCACAAAGTGACTTAGTAGAGCCCAATCTTTATGGAGAGATACCTTGCCCAGCCTAGACACAGGGTTGTGGGGATGGAGAGATGCCTTGGTCCTGCCTCAACTACATGATGGATCAGACTTAGTAGACTTCCTAGGGGAGACCTTATCCTCTCTGAGGAGCAGATGGGAGGTGGGGGAGGGAGTAGGGGGAGCAGAAGAGGTGGGAGGGAGAACTGAGATTGGAATATAAAAAATAAATTAATGAAAAAGATTTAAGCATGTTCTCCTCTTGACACATGGTTAGTGCTCAGCAGATATCAGAAGAGCTGGGGTGGGTGTAAGAACTGGGACAACCTGCCCAGGAGGCTGAGATTCACCAATTGCTCACGAGAGGTAAGCTACCAGAAAACAGTGTCCTGCCACTACATCAAGGACCAACTGCCTGCCCACAGTGCTGTGCCTGAACAAAGGCACACGTAGAATATTGCTGCATGATTTTATTACTATAAATATACAGTAAAAACAAACCAAAAACTAGCCAATCAGAGCACATCAAATGATAGCACATGTGAATCTGAGACACGTGAGTCTGTAGTCTGCATCCCATCTTTCAAAGTACTGGCAGCAGTACCATGGCCAGAGGCCAGGGTGTTGGCAGGTGAGGGGTGGGCGGGCATGCACATGCTGAAGTGACTGCATGTGTGTTCAGCAGGAGGGGAGATGGATGTGCAGGCAAGGCTCTGCTCACAGGCTCACAGAGACCAGGCCAGCAACTGCGACAAAGGGGCAGAGGCAGAACCAGAGCTCAAGCAACCTAAAAGGGGGCTCCATGCATTGCTACAGGTTGTTACCTAGGTGAGTGTGGCAGGGCACCTCTGTACCCGCTCACCAGGGGAGCCTCACTGCCTAGGCACCTTTGCCCTGGGGCCACCCATGGACACTTTGCCTTAAAGACCAAGTATCACTGGGACCCTGCTTATAGGTGGACTGTGAGAGGAGCCTTAGACAATTAACCAATGAGAAACACAAAAGGACATGTACCCGCCAATGGGTCTGTTATGGGAGTTGCTCAGGCTCTTCCCTGGTGGTGGGGTGGGCAGTGCTGCCCTGCAAGCATGAACATCTCCATCTTGGAGGCATGTGAGGAACCGAGTGAAGCGGGACCTGTGAGGGGGTACTGGATATCAACCACTGCAAATGACTGTGCTGTTCACATATCTGGCCTCCTAGTCTTGCCCGCAGCTGCCCCCAGCTGCCAGAGGCCACTAGTAGGTTGAAGAGCAGAGCAGGAGGGGGCCTGGAGGCTTCAGGGATGGTCACCCATGGACAGGACATACAAAAGGTAGAAGCAGCAGTGACTTCCTGGCTGCCTTGGAGGACACACACAGGACAGGTAGACAGGCACAGTTTCCTTCATCAACTGTAACCTGGGTTGCCCACCTTCCAGAACATCCGAGAGGATGACACTTCACTCCGTGGGTAGATTCTCTTCTGCTGGTTTGCTAAGTGCTCAGAGCATCAGCCTTGGCAGTTGGGAGCCCCTCTAGAGCCTATGGCCCATGGAGAAAGTTGCTGTCCTTCATCTTGTACCATTTACAAATATATAGACCATAGAAAAGGAGGGTGTGTGGAAGAGTAGTCCACTGTGCAATTTGATAAAGGTTCACTATGGCCTCTCAAAGCCCAGTGGCCACATCAGGCGTGCAGACAGGAGAGGCCAGGGTCTCACTGGGCTCCAGGGAAGTCTCCTGGCAATTTTGGGGATACTGAGGGTTCTGTGCTGCCAGCTGAGTCAGGCTCTCAGAGTGGGGTCAGCTCAGTAGCTCCAGGCTCAGAACTAGAGCCACTCAGCAGAGGCCAGGGGGAGCTGGTGGTGCCAAGGCTGTGTGGCGTCTCCATGGAGGTGGACCAACCTGTGTGTGGGGGGAACAGAGTAAGGAAGGGTCATGATGGGCTGCTGGTCACATCTCTGGTCCCATCAACCCAGAGCCTCATGGGGGCAGGACCACCTAGCACCCCCTACCTTGTAACCAGGTACATGCCATCTGGCAGGAATAGCAGATGTGACCTCATAGAAAGATAGGGATCCTTCAGTCCTAGGCAGTGAATTACATCTGTCTCCTATACTGGGACAGATCACCCTTCAGGACCAGGGGGTAGAGTTTCAGGCAAAGGGTAGCTGTGGGCTGTTGGCCCCTGGGTCTCCTGACCTGGACTATCATTCCTGGACCTCAGCAACACAGTTCCTGCCAAGAGCTTTGCAACTGGGTTAGCTGAAGTTCAGCCAACTCTAGCACAGGGAAAGTGAGAACATGGGAACAAAGCACGTTGGTACTTGGGTCATCTGAGCAAGCAGCTCCACTGGAGCAGAAGAGGCCCCAGAGCCTATCTGTCTTCCAGAGGCCTGCTCTGCTTAGTCCCAGATATCAGCTCTGTGGTGCTGTGTGGTGTTATCCCAGGGCAAAGGTTGTTCTCAGAAGCATTGGTGGCACAGACAAATCAGTCCTCCCTCCTTTTTAGGAGCTGTGGCCTCACAAAAGGCAACTTTATGTGGTGCAGTCCCCAGCTGTGACCTAAGTTCTAACTACTCAAGTTCAACCTAAACCCTTCCTCCTATGGAAGTTACAAACAACAACATTTTTGTTTATGGAGCACTGCTCTGGGGGACACTCAAGTCTTGAGAAACCATGAACCCCAACAAAACCAAAGAAGGCCTGGCTCTCTGGCTGATGGGAGAGGGCTGCAGCCTAGAGGTCTAGACACATCCCAGACAGGTTGTGTGAACCTGCCATGGTGCCATCCTTCTGAGGAACCCTGACACAAAAGGTTACTGGCACCTCTGTAAGAACCTTAAGAAAGAGTCCTTGCCTGTAGGCCTAGTTTACAGGGATGCTTCTGTAACCAGAAATCTGGGCCACCTGTGGCCAAGAAGCTACCTATCCAACAGGGCACCAATCCCATTGTTCATTAAGACTGTGTGTGTGCGGTGCAGCAGAAAGTACCAGAGACAAGATGGACATGTTCTCAGTGGCAATGATGTTCTCAAGACAAAAAAACTCAGCAATGCACCAGAGAAAGCTGTATGCCAGATAAGGGGACAGTGACAAGTGAAGGAAGGCATGAAGAATGCCCCCTGGACAGGAAGCAAAGAGGGTTTGTTTGTTTTGAGAGTTTCTTTGTGTAGCCCTGGCTGTCCTGGAACTCTCTCTGTAGACCAGGCTGGCCTGGAACTCAGAGATCTATCTGCCTCTGCCTCCCAAGTTGCTAGGATTAAAGGCATGCGCCACCACACCTAGCATTATTTTTTAATGTATATTTTTATTTTCATTTTATATATGAGTGTTTTGCCTTCACATATCTCTGTATAGAAGTTGCATGCCTGGTGCCCAGAGAGGCCAAAAGATAGTGTCCAATCCTTTGGAACTGGAGTTATAAATGGTTGTGAGCTGCCATGTGGGTGCTGGGAATTTAACCAGAGTATTCTGGAAGAGCAGCCAGTGCTCTTAAACACTGAGCCTTCTCTCCAGCCCCACAAGACACAACAGACCTAGGAGGACATACATGCTCCACAGACAGGAATGTTGATGGGAATGAGTGATCTAGAGTCTCCCATGGCTTGGGCAAATCTGAACTATTGCTTAAAACAACAACCATAGCTGAGGCAGGAGGAATGTATATTTGGGCTACAGAACAAGTTCAAGGCCAGCCTAGGGAATTTAATAAGACCCTGTCTGTCTCCAGGGGCAGGTCTAAAAAACTAAAGAGTCGAGTATGTCCTACCTAGATCCAATCCCCACTACTGAATTTTTGTTTTGAAAAACCACAGTGAGACTACTATGTGCAGCCCCCAGGATGCTGCTCCACATGTTCCTAGGCTCCCTGATCCTCCAATTCCTTCCTCCTATCAGGAACAGCAACTCCAGAGTCACTATTCAAAGGACTCTACATTATTATTTGGAAGAGCCTGGATGAGCACCTGTCCGGATGGGAGACCACCTTGCAGACACAAAGGGGTAGCAGTCATCAGTGGTTTCTGGACTCCAGAAAAAACCCTCAGGGGATTGAGCTTTTCTCTACAGATATACCCAGCCAAGCCACCAGAAATGTGGAGGAAAGGTCACGTACCAGCTTACTCCTCTATACCAACAGAGCAGGACTCAGGACCCAGGGCTGTGCAGAGAGGAGGGAGAGACAGATGGAGCTCAGTTAGCAGAAAGACATAGACTTTAGGGTCAGGGGTAGGAACTGACTATAAACAGACGGCCCACACAATGCCTGCTACAACCAAGAAGTAAGTACAACCAGGACAGATCCTGGACAACTTTCTAGCCAAGAGAGAGATGTGTATGTTGTGAAGGCAGCAGGCATAGTTCCTCTTGTGGCTATGGAAGCCAGGCCCCTGGACCAGGGAGAGCACCAACCAGAGGCACCTACTTTTTCACTAATTCATTGGACGTCCCCATCTCCAGGGGACCTGGGTTCAGTGACTTCAGCAGCATCCAGGAGGAAGTGGTGCCACTGTCAGAAAGTAAAGACACCAGCTGCATGTATGCTCCTCACAAAGATGAAAGATACTCAGCCTTCTCTGACAAGAGCCAGCAGAAAAGACAGTAGGTGCCATCGTGTAAGGAGAGACATGCAGGGATGTACGACTGACACACAAGCCCTTCCCCCACCCACCAGTACCGACACACATCAATGGTAACTCCAACAAGAAGTGCAGAGATAGCAACCTGGCTTCCTGTCACAGAGCAAGCCTGTATAAGGGGTGGTTCTCAGAGAGTGGCTAGGAACCAGAAGCAGTCCCTGTGCAGAACTGGCCAAAGCTGGCTCTTCTCCAACTGTACATGCAGATCTTGCGTCTCCTATAGCTTCTCCAGCTGATTGCCTCCCACTCATTTGGTGGACTTAAATGAGGCCTGAGACCCCTGCCTCTGTGGCCAGTCCTGATGTACTGCAGGCCACACAGGGGATTAAATTATTTTTGCTTGACAGTAAAGGTGTCTTCAAGTCCACCTGCAGGAGCAAAGCTCACACTGGGAACTCAAAAGACCCGGGGACTTTTTCCAACCCCGTGCTTAACCAAATTTACAAGAAAGATAGGTACTTGAGGTGCTTCCAAGGACATACTGGAATTTTGCCCTTTAGGACATGCTGGTTCCAAACATACTTGGCCTATGGGTTTGTTTAGGATAGGTCACAGCGATCCAGTAAGATGAGCCGTAGCTAGTCTCCCACACCCGTTGACCCCTATGGGTCACTTCACATCCAGGAGACAGGGGCAGATGGGAGGCCCTATTCACCAAAGGATGTCACAATCACCCAATAGCAAGTGGCCCTGGACAAGTGAGCAACACTGACCCCAGGGCCAAGCAGGGGGCAAAGGGAGTTTCCCTGACATGTGGGAGTAGCCCATCTCCTTAAGTAGGTGTTTCTAAGAACCAGCCTCAGAAGGTGTAATGGCTGTTTATCAGAATTCCCAAGAGCAGAACAGTTCTACGTTTGAGAGACCCACTTCTATCCCAGAATTGGAGCCTCAAGTGTGAACCCCAAGTATAAAGCTAAGGAGCCTATTCCCACAGAGCACACAGAGGAGGAACTAAGTGACAGCCTGTGGCTGAACCTTTAGAAAAAGAACAGCAAGTCCATGGCCCACTATCTGTGGCCCAAGCTGTGTACCCTCTGAGCTGACTGGGAATGTAGTGATGTACACCTGGGCAGTGGCCTAGGTCACCCACAGGCAAATGTCTCTCTGGCATGGGCCACAAATGGAGAGAGACTGCAGCTCTCAGCAGAGTGAGACTGGCCTCCCTGGGCCCCAGCAGGCAGCAGCCAGAGAAAGAACTTTGTCCTTCTGCAACAGCTTGTACTACCTTCCTCAGGCCAAGTTCACCTAAGGTCTGCAGGAAGTCAGCAGGCAGCCTAAGCCTGGCCTGAGTCCTGCTATGGGAATGAACAGGGTACAGAGTCGGGAGTGATGACCTGGTCCCTGAAGGGTGCAGTAGGTCTCAGACTCCCCTTTCCTTCCTCTACCCTCAGAGATAGAGGTAGGCTCTGCACAAATGTCTACAAAGGACTTGGTGCCGTTACCTGGTAGATAAATGTCGGCAGGAGGGACTTGCTGACTGCAACCATGGTGCTGGGGGCTGCCATCCTGCAGGACATCATCAATAGAGGGCACTCGGCTCCCTGCAGCAGGTAGAGGAGAGAGGTCAGGACACACAGGAACAGATCCTTGGGGTCCATTCTGACCCCATGAACTCCAGGGACAAACTCCAGGGACCACAATAGCAGCATGTGCATGAGGTGGGAAGTTCTGCTTCTTTTATTTCGAACCAATCTGTTAGGTGCCAGGTAGTAGCTGTCTTTTGTTCTTCCTTGAAACTGAGCATACAGGAGTGGCCCCGTTACCCTGAGTGACAGTGGGCTTCAGGGAAAACTTCTGGAGTAGCCCTGAGGACCATGGCTACTCTTACCTCACACAAGTACTCAACAGCTTGTGCCTGCATTCCTGATTCCTCTAGGTGACTTTTCTACCTGGGTAAAGAGCTCTCCGAGTATGGGAGAAGCCTAGGCCCTAGGAGGGAAGCTGAGGTCCTCCCTGCTTGAGACAGAAGATGGAAATACAAGACCAGGCTAGAGGGGCTGAAGACATAGCACACTGCTCTAAGAGAGCAGCATCCCACTCACACCCAGGGCCACAGCCCCCTGCAAGCGGGCCTCACATAGGGGGACCTCTCAGCAGCTGCAATTACACAGGATGGAGAGTGCATCACCATCCTATGGGCCTCATTGCCAGTTAGAGCCATGTCCTAGTCAAGTGGCCTTGGGCATCCCCTAGATGCCAGCCCTGAACTTTACTTTCTGTCTAGCAGTGACATGGTAAGGACTAAGCAGATGCAGGCTTGGGGGGCTTCCAAGAGGGGTGGGGAAACCCATGCCTTCTAAGTTCCCCATTAAGCCCTTCACTATAGAGAGGCAAGGAGACACCAGCTGTCATCAATTCATCCGGAAAAGAGACAGTTAGGCAACTACAAAACACACCAAAGCAAATAACTCCACCTGGGCAGCCCTTCCTGGTCACACATGACATGCTGGCACAATGCCCTTATCACCCCTGCACACTGACCATCCAGGTTCCAAAAGGTAAGAGCTGGGGTCTGTCTCTAACCAGGACCCAAAGCTTACCAAGTGCTTGGGGACAGACCTGGGAGAAGGGGCTCACCTTGATTGAGTGACGGCTCATCCACCTCCTCTGTTCCGAAACTCTAGGAGACAAAGAGGAAAGGCCTCTGGTACAAACATCCTCAGGCCAAATGGGTCAAATTCCTGAGACTACGCTGAGGGCAGTGGGCAGCAGCTGCCACCAAGAACACAAGGATATCACTGGAAGCTAGGCTTCACACATGATCTTGCTTAGAAGTCCTCAAAGTGACTCCACCACAGGACACCTAGCCTACAATCAAGGACACTGACTTGTTTGGCTGTGACATCACAGTGTGGCAGTGCCTAGAGGGCTAATGAGGGCTCAGGATCATCAAGGGAGCCCAGAAAAGACCAGAAGCAAGCCTCACCTCAGGGGAGCTGCTCTCCCTCAATGCAAGCTCCACACCACTTGGTGGGAGAGGAGCGTCCGAGTCCTCCGATAGCTTCTCCTCATCCTCCTCATGGATAGGGGATGATGGAGACCGTAGGGTGCTGGAGACAGGAAGGAAGCAAGATTGTAGGATGGCTAGGTGAGGAATGCAAGCCTACCAAAAGCCATACTGGACCAGTAGCCTTTGCACACATACCTTGAGACATGTGAAAGGGGCCTTTGGGGGAGAGGTGGCATCTCTGCAAAGATTAAAAAAGCAGACCTGCCCGAGGCTCCCAGGCAGAGGTTGTACTTCAGCACAGGTGTGAACAACCAGGAAGGTGGACCAGCCCAACAACCCTCCCATTCCCAAAGATACCAGCACAGGCCTGACAGCCTGACACTAGAAGAGACACATTGAGCCCCAGGCAAACAGCAGAAGGGATTGTGTGTCTCTGGAGTTGCTCTGCCATGTACAGGGACCTGGGCAGCTTGCAAAACACATACCTGTCTTATATTTTTCTCCTTAAGGAGTCAACACAGTAAGACTGGCCAGCCACGCCATGCTAGTCTCCAAGGGAGCAAGACTGACTCTTGGGCACTCAAGAGGACCCTTGTGATATTGAGGATGCTCTGCAGTAGAGCACTAGCCTGGCATGTACATGGACCTTGACAAACTCCAGAAACACACAGATACACAAAACCCACCTCAGACAGAAGACTAATATCTAGGACACATAGAAACTCAAAAAGATGTACTCCAAACACTAAATCATCCAATCATTAAATGAACTCAAGGCAGTTTGCAAAAGAAATATAGCCCACAGTGGTGACACATGCCTATAATCCCAACACTAAGGAGGTAAAGGCAGGAGAATCAGGGCTCCTAGGTCAGCCAGCCTAGGCTGCTTGAGAGCCATCCTAGAAGCAAAAAGAATAAAATTGCCAGGCATGGTGGCATATGCCTTTAATCCTAGCACTTAGGAGGCAGAGACTGGAAGATCTCTGAGTTCAATGCCTGCCTGGTCTACAGAGCTAGTTTCAGGAGAGCCAGGAAACCTGTCTCAAAAAACCCTGTCCCAAAAAATCTAAACAAATAAACACACACACACACACACACACACACACACACACACACACACACACACACACACACACACACAGCACCACAGGTACATGTGTGTGATTGTCATTTGCAGGAAAATCAGTGGAATTAGAGATTATATTAAAGAAAATGAGCCAGACTCAGATTCTCTCATACACAAAACTGAGATTTTAAAATAAGTATATTAACATGTAGAACATGAAAGCAGAAGGGGACAGTGTGGGGAAGAAGAGGCCAAAAGGGGGCAGCTACAATACAGGGTAATAAGATGTATAAGCAATGTGACTATTTAGGGATAGGAAAGGAGCCAGTATGGGGTGTGTAAGAGGTGTATGAGCACAGTAATGATACAGATGTATAAAAATGTCATAGTGAGTACCACCATTTTGTATGCTAGTAAAAATAACATTAGCAGTAAAAAAAAAAAAAAAAAAAGGGACAACCTAGCACCCCTCCATGGCCTCTGCATCAGCTCCTGCCTCCAGGTTCCTGTCCTGTTTGAGTTGATGCAGTTAAGATGTGGAAGTGTAAGCCAAATAAACCCTTTTTTCCCCATCTTGCTTTTGGTTAAGGTGTTTTATCACAGCAATAGTAATCCTAAGACACAAGGTGCATCTGCTTCACACCTCAGTGTTGCAGTTTCAACTGTCATTGCTGGTTCCTTGGTGATATGTCTATATGACCAGCTATCAAAAATTTATAGATTCAGCCGGGCAGTAGTGGTGCACGCCTTTAATCCCAGCACTTGGAAGGCAGAGGTAGATGGATCTCTGTGAGTTCGAGGCCAGCATGGTCTACAGAGTGAGTTCCAGGACAGCCAGGACTGTTTCACAGAGAAATCCTGTCTTGAAAAAAACAAACAAAAAACAGAAACAGAAACAAAATCACAGATTCAAATTAGCTCTGTAGGCAAGGATATGGCATCGGTCTGCACAATTTACTGACAGCAAGCAGCTGGTGTGCTTTGGGCCTTGGGGGCACTGGGAGTCTCAGCCCAGCCCCTTTCCTAATGGACTATTCTGCTCAATGTTGCTGGCTGTCATCAACTATACAGAGTCTGACCTGCTGCTGGACCTTTTGAGTCCCAGTGATGAAGAAACAAAACACATCATAAAGTTCTGTAGAACAACAGAGAAACCTTGCAAGTCTTGCATGCACACATCAGCAGATCTTCCCTCTCACTCTTACACACATCCTCTTTCACTCAATGTGACGACACACTTCACAGAGGGAGAGACTGGCCTTACCTGTCTGGAGACTTGCTCTGTGGCTTGCCCTTCTGTAGGCCACTTTCTATGATTCGATCAAGTCCAACAAGAGGACAGCTGGCCTGGGACAGACCATCCGAGATGCCTGAGTAGGTGACTTCCTCATAGAGGGGGGCTGATGGGATAGCCGGGGAGACAGCCCGTAGACCATTGAGTGCCTCAAGCAAGGAGATGGGCTCATAGCCAGGCGGGACACTGTCAGAACTCTGTGGGGACAAAAATCAATGAGGAGGGCCCAGCCAGGCTCCTGTCTACAGTCATGAAGTCCCAGAAATGGGATATTCTCCTCCCCAGACCTGCTTTGCTGTGTCTTCTTCATGCTACCTTCTAGGGATTTAATCCCCATCTCTTGTCAAAAGCTATCCTGAAGAGTGTAAACTATCCTATTCAGGAGTCCCTCAGCCACCAGTTCCAGCACATACCCCAACACCCAGATGTCCACAATGATTAGCAAGGTCTGCAAAAGCCTTTGTCCCCATCATTGCCAAGCCCTTACATGGCTTGCTGTTCCCAGCTTGCAGGAGTGGAAAGTGTGAGGGGTTAGTGACAGCAAGAGAACTCAGGAGCAGGCAGAGCAGAGCCATGCCAGAGGCAAGAGAACATTGCCAGTGCTGCCCTGGACCAGGGCAAGTATGGCCTCGGGGGACCTCAAGCAGGGTGGCAGTGGGAATATGGATGGGTACTAGCTACAACAGCCCCTCATTAGCAATAAATGGATTTGGCAGGGGTAAAGGAGAAGGAATGTGCCCAGCTTCCAGAGAAGAGCAGCCAGGCCACAGAGTGCTGTGGAAGGATTGTGCTATATTGCTCCCATAGGCTCTCACAAATCAAGTAGAGGGGCAGTGCTCATAAGTGCTTCCTACAGGAAGCTCTGGCCTGCCACCCTCAGCAGTGTGGATAACAGGATTGGGGGGGGGGCGTGTCACTCCTGGAGAACGTGGTGTGCACCAGACCAGTGTTGGATCTTTGTACTCTGGCTAACTCTCACCTATCCCCATCTGCCTTCAACTTAAAGGTGAACAATTGCCCCAACTCCCACACCTGTCACAAAGGACAAACCTAGCTGCTTCCCAAGCTTCTTCCCTCAGCTACACTAGCTTTCAACGGGCTCTCACAGGGCCAGTGAAACTCCAGGAAAAGGTCTGGCCTGGCTGCTACTGATTTTGCTCTCCTTTGTCTGGTCCCTGGGGTGCAGGGAAAACGTCAGAAAACCAGAGTCCTCGGCCCAAAGAGCCAAACTTCAAGGGACAGCCAGCCAGGGATGCAAGATGAACAAGCATGCAGGAGATGCCATGTGCAAAAAGGAGCAGCAGTATCAGTTCCACCTTCAACACCCATTCCACTGCCAGCAAGAAAAAAAGGGAAACAGGGCACTCAGAAGCCATGGCGAGCAAAGCTGGCGAGAAGGGCAGTGCCTGAGGTTGGCTACCACCTGGCACCAACAACAAAGACCTGGCTTTGCGCCAACAGACCTTTAGCTTTGCTTGTTCCACAAAACTCCCTTCCTGGGCAGGGACACCGGGACTAGGGAGAGCGGATTTGACAAAGTGTGTTAAACATATTAGCCTGGGTTAAAATGACCTCCCACAATTGTTGGTTTAAAAATAAGGGTCTGGGGCAAAAACAGAGCTATATGACCAAACACACTTACTGTTTCCCTTTTAGGTTTCTTGCTGGCCAGGGAGGCAGGGTGCGACTTTGTTTTTTTAAAGGGACACTGTCAAAATAAAAATCACATGTTTTACAACTTCTACCTCCACATGGCATGGGGATTGGTGGGGCGAGGCGGGCCTCTGGTTTACTGCCCTCCATGCATGCCCAGGAATTCTAAAATTATGGTTGATCTTAAGACCACACTCAACACAAGAAAAATTCTTCATCAGGGCCCTGTGCAGGCTGTCTGCACATATATAACCAGTTCCTGCAGCATGTCCCACTCAGAGGGGAACCTGACCTCGATCTAACCTATTTATGGTCTGGGTCTCCCCAGAGCAAGAGGTCTTGGCCAAGGTGACATGAGAGTGACTGGGCCTTCAGCCTCACCATTACCTTAAAGACTCCCTGGAGACCTAAGTTGGGTACTTCACAGAACTGGTGGCAGAGAATAAGAACCCACTTAGGTACTCAGAATCCTGCAAAAGGCAGGTGGCTCCCAGGGCAGACTAGAGCTTCTGGCTCATTACCAATCAAGGTTACACCCACCCCGTAACTTGCTCACTCAGGATAAGAGGACAAACAGGAAGGGACCCATCTGACCTTCAGCCACCAGGACAAACCAACAACAAGCCCAGCACTGTCAAGCACTGGTGGGTCCCTCCACAACACTCAGAGCCTCTCCTTCACCAGGTGGCCCCACCTCAGAGCCATTTCTCCTGCAACCAGCAAGCACATGGTTGATGAGTGTATTGCTCTTCAACTAAAACCTACACAGTATGCTAGAAGGCAGAAGTGTTTCAGGGGCCCTAGCGTGTGTGGCAGTGGGACAACCCATTGGAGTGGGGATGCTACACCTCTAGTCCAGGTACCTGAATGCAAACTGGTTTTTGAAAGAAAGGCCAACAATCTACATTTCATGGAATACTTCTAGGCTTTTAAATGTTGGCCTGGGTCAGGTGCAGTGGCACACACCATTAATCTCAGCACTCAGGAGGCAGAGACAGGCAGATATGAGTTTAAGACCAGCCTGTTCTACAGAGTAAGTTCCAGAACAGCCAGAGCTACACAGAGAAACCCTATCTCAGAACACAACAAAACAAAAATATTGGCCCAGTTTGCAGAAGTGTACTGTGAGAGTACATCACACCTGCTGAGCTTGCTGACTGTAAATAAAGCAGGCCTTCCAGGAACAAAGGCTATGCCGCCTGTATGTCCAGGCAATAGGGCTTTTTGTTCTTTCTTCCTAAAGTGGAGACAAGGCCTTCAAAACCTAGCATAGCGGTCCCTGCAGCAGATGCTCATCAGACCCCAAGAAGGCCTAGGCCCAGACTGAGCTCTCCCTCACTCCCCAACTGCCTCAGCTTTTCCTGCAGACTCCCACCTATTTCTAGGCACCTCTCTCCCCATCTCTGAGCACTTCTGTGAGCCTCATCTCTTACTTATGTCTTGCTCTTTAGGTTCTTTAATTGACAAGACCTTCCTGGTCTGCCTGACGCAAGGTCTACCTAGGCAGGCATTCAGTCTATAAAAGGAGCCTCCAGGCTGAGGCTGAAGCCAGCCCACAGGCAGTAACATACAGGTGGTCCCTCAGAGTGCGCTGCCTAAAGCAACAGTGGAGATGGGGCAAACACTCAGCAGAGCTCAGAGGAGGTCCTCCCCTTGCCCAGCAGAGCCTGGTCCCTGATTAAATGCTCACAGGCTGCTGTAGGGCCATGCCTGCCTAGTAGGCAAACTAAAGGAGGAGGAAAGGCACTTACAGAGTGCTCATCATGGTCCACACTCTGGGCCAAAACAGGGCTGAAAGAAATGGGAGACAGGGCCCCTGGCTTCTTCCGAACAGCCCGGATCTGCAGGAGCGCTCGGAATGCTGTGGCAGAAAGAAAGAGAGACATGTGAACAAGGACAGTGTCTTCAAAAGCATGGACGGACGGACGGACACTCAAGACAGACTGTGGACACTGCCGCTCACAGTGCCCAAGAACAAGGAACATGTTTCCAAATCAGAGGCAGAAGGGATCCTTAACAAATGGAGTCCTGGACAGTTTCTAAGGGGCAGTTTCTAAAAGACCAACAGCTGTTTAAAGACTACTCTATTCAAGTCACAATGGCTGTGGCCACCACTCACACCAGTAGGCTGAAACAGTGGGGACCAGAGATCTCCATACTACAGGCTCCTGCCTGTGAGCTCTTCAGAAGGCAGAACAGGAGCAGGGAAGTACACTGTCTACCACAGAGACAACTGGGGCAGACACTGGTTATGTAGCAGAAAGGACAGATTAGGACAAAGGGATCTCCTAGGGCCAATTCTGCCCACACGAGTGGCCCAACAGGAAACAGGATTACATTCCTAAGACATAGTGAGTGGAGGTGAAGCCCATGAATCTATGACAAATGTGCCATAAATCAGGATCGAATAAGATATGCCATCAGCCTACACCCTGGCGCTGAGGAATCAGAGAAAGCCATCACATCTGCATTTCTCAGTACAATCCCCATTTTCTACAAAGAACAGGCCAGTGACACCAGCTTCCATTTCTACCTCCTATTTGAGGACCCCAACTTGAAGCCATGCCACACAGGAAGATCTCAGAGGCCCAGTGGCAGGTCCTGGTACCTGTAGTAAGTTCTAGGGCCCTTTCTTTCCATTCTTCCAACCTTAGCCCTACACAAAGCTGTTATCCTGACTATAACCCATCACTCCTATGCTTTGTCCCACAGTTTCCCATCTGCTTCCAGCACTGGACACAAAAACACAGGGCCTGTATGCCCTGTTCATCTGGGGTTCCTGTAACAGCCTCACTTCTCCACAACCACCCATACTTGGTTATACAGCAACCAGGCGAGGAAGGGCATGCAGCGCGGGGTGGAACTGGGATTCATGGCTCTGTATTTGTACTCTAGCCTAGGACACACACTTGCTCCAGCCCTACTCTGACCTCTGGGTCCCACCAACACACTCTGAGACTGCCCCAGGAGGCCAGGACAAGCTGGGGACATTGGTGCTCAGCTTCACTAGTCACCACTTCACACAGGCTGAGGCCTGCAGTGAAGTCTTGGGACATCCTAAGCAGCATCCTGTGTGTACTCAGGCTGGTAGGCTCACAATGGGACAGTACTGAAAGGAAAGCTCTGAAAAGATGGCACACTCTGGTCATCCTGTTCACTGGGGACCACCCATATAAGAACACTACCTTTGTCACATGTGGGCACCAAAGCCTGCAAAAATCCAAGCTGGCACTGTCTGCTTCCCTTGCAAAAGGTGCTATGAACTGCCCATGTCAGCCCACCTGTGGTCCCCTGTCCTACCTCAAATGGGTCTTCCCCTGGACATTGGGAGACCCAGACCAGGTACTATATTGTCCCTGTCTGTATATGCAACCTGTCCTATGACCCAATGGAACTGCCACAATGCAAACTCACACATTACATGAACACATATCCAACTCTTAGGGGACTACCAACATGGCATGCTGCTTTCAGGTGGTGGGATCAAGATCAGAAGCCAAAACCCCACAATTTCTGAATGAAGAAACCATTTCTGACACTTTACTTGCCATGACCTTGGGTGAGTTTCCTCACAGTCTATAATGTGACAGACAACCTGATCACTACCTACTGACTTCCCACCCAGCACAATGTTCTGCTTTTGACTCACTTTAAGATTTTCAAAAATAGTTCCTATGTAACCATGACAACAGATTTTGTTCAGAGCTTAATCTGCCTGGTTCAAATGTTACCAAACATCTGCCCTGGAGCACTTCTATGTATTCCTTCTAATATTTCCCTGTCCTGGAGGCAGAAGGATCAACATCATGCCTGTGTGACAAACTCATGGAGTTTCCATTTCTCATACAATAGGGAGAGTGGTCCCCAGACTGCCTGGAGTAGGCAGCCCTAATTCTCCTGCGTCCTTCACAAACAGAGTCCTGGGTAATGCTCACGCAGCCGGCAGATGGGGCAGTTGTTGGCCTGGTACCGCAACGTGTCAGCACAGGAAGTGCAGAGGCACAGGTGGCGGCAGGGCAGGATCAACGTGTCCCTCAGGTCTGATAGGCACACGACACATTCACTGCTGTTGTCACTGTTTTCGTCATCGGAAGGCTGTGGAGACAACGGCCAGTGTGTCAGTGGCTTCATAAGAGCCTAAGAGTAGACCTGATGCTGCCTTGAGCATGCCCACCCGTGTTTATGTGTACCACCATTCCCAGGGACTGTATAGCAAAGGGAGTAGGGGGGTTCAGGAACACACACAAGGGGGGTGGGGCACCAGGCTCACATGGAGGGGAGAAGACTTGCCTCCCCCAAACCCAAGCATGATAACTCTTTCTGGTATAAGAAGCAGAGAAAGGAAGGACAGCACAGAACCACGTGTCTTTATAATAACTGGGACTGTCTATTCAGCCAAAATCACTGAGCAGATCTAACTTGGAAAGACTTTAATTTATATCAGCTTTCAGAAACTACACCAGGACCTGGAAAGCAAGTGAGCAAATATCTTAAAACATCAATTGGGCTAATTGAACCTGCTTGTTTATTGGAACACTGACATATTTAACCATCTTTGCACTGTCTGGGGCTGCTTCTAAGCTATGGCTTCAGAACCAAGTAGCTGCCACAGAAACCAGATGGCTAACCCAGAACACCTTTAATCCCAGCACTTGGGAGGCAGAGACAAGCAAATCTCTTTGAGCTTGAGGCCAGCCTGTGTACAGAGTGAATTCCAGGGCCAGAACAACACAGTGAGACCCTGTTGTGAAAAACAAACAAATAGTCCACAGATGGCTCATGAAGCTAAAAATATTATCTGACAATTTAGTGATTTAAACAACATGCTGGTCAACTTTGGTGGGGGGGGGACACGACAAAACATTTCAAAACTTCTGTGTTCTGCTATAGTTGGAGGTGTATGAACTGTCCCTCTAAAAGGCTTTTGGATTGGAGGCTCTAAAACCCAGCTATTAAGAGAGGCTCCAGGAACTTTAGGAAGGAGGACCTACCCAGGGGAAGTAATAGCAGGTTCTTCAGGGGGCAGGGAGCTTCTGTTTCCTAGCTGCCATGACATGAGCTACCCTGCTTCACCTCACTTTCCCTGCCATGGTGGAGTGACACTTGTAAAACTGTGAGCTGAATAAATCATTCTCATTTGAATTGCTGCTTCTCAGGTAGTTAGTCAGTCAGAGACAAACAAAAAAAGAGATTAAGGAAAGAAGATGGAGTCTGGGGTTCTGGACCTCAAGGGAAAGGCCTCCTTCCCATTAAAGTTTGTGGGCCCTGGGTCAGGCTTGGAAAACCTCAGCACATCACTAGTGAGTGGGCTTCTAAAAGGCAGTTAGAAGCCTGGAGTCCAGTTAGCTACCCACAAGGACACACCTTGGTCTCTTGGTTGTTCTTATTCTCAATGCCGTAGATCTCCTGCAACAGGTAGCTGACACGATCCACCTAGAGAGCAGAAAGATGTGCTAGGGTCTGGTCAGTCTCCACTAGTGGGCATCTCTGTACCTAGATCACCTCCCAAGGCTCAGGTTCCACAGAAAGTGTGGCTGAGAAATCTGTGATACCTGTTGAACCCCTCTCCTCCTGAAGAAGGGCAAACTTCAGGAACAAGAGGCAGGAAACCCTGCCCTGTGCTGAGTTCAGCAAGCAACACAGGGAGCAGGGAATGAAAGCAATGGTCCTATCTATTCATCCCAGAAGGCCTGGCTCCAAGCTGCTCACAATTATCACCACTACCAGAGAACAAATACTTTGGACCCACTCTGTCACCCACGGGAGGGCCAGAGCTGCTGTCTGTAGGCAGCAGACAGCAAGCCATTAAACTGTTCTTTCCACAAGACATGAAAGCAACATATGGTCCGAGACACAAAACCAATAACTTCTGACCAAAAGACCTCATGCTGACCTGTCCTGTCAGCATGAGCCATAGCATCCCTCAAGAAAGCCAGGATCTTACTAGCTGGCTTTCAGGAAACAAGTGTCCCAACCCCTGGCGAGGTCTTCTGCCCAACTAGTATCACCAGGGTCTGAACCTGCCAGGGTTCACTCTCTCTCTCTCCTTTAAAGGCTAACAAACACACTGTAACTTTAAGCAGGTCTCAGGCACTTAGGTAGCTACACACAAAACAACTGTTCACCATGGCCTTAGAACACAGGCTCTTGCCTGTCAATCAGTCTCAAATGGTTCTAGTTAGGCATCCCACTAAATTCTTATATTGCTCAAGTAGGCTACAGAATGTGTGAATCCCAAGAGAAGCTTTCCCAGTCTCCCCTGTACCCTGGAACACCTCCCCTCTTGAGTGCTCTTTGCCCAGAGCTTCTTTATTTCCAGTAATCTGTAAGCACAAGACAGATGCCATCATTCTGTTTCCTGTTTTTCCTTACCTTCTCTGCCCACTCATTTAGCAAATACACACCAAAAACTAACTGCATTCCATACACCATGGTTCAAACTGGGCAGGACTCAGGAACCTGCTCTGGTTGCTATAGCACAGGGTAGCTATACAACCCATGCACACAAAACACAGATCCCAATATCTGAGAGCATTTAAGGGGGCAGACTCAGGCAAGCAGCTCCTACATGGCCAGAAAGAACAGCCCATGTAGTCTGAGCATGGGTTCACAACTGCATTATGTGTGTGTGTTTTTGCAACGGAAGGGCCCACAACATCTGGCACTTACAATTTGCTTCTGCTTTAATGGCTTCACAGAGAAACTGCCATCGACATGCTGCAGAGAAGAGACACAGTTAATCTCAAACTAGCCCTTCCAAGCAAGCACTCTTGCCCAGCCAGGTGAGGGCCAACCTACATTCATGGCTGAAAATAAGAAAAGGCGAAGATAAGAAGCCAGGCCACAATGTCTTCACCTATGGCCTCATGCCTGCCTTCTACTATACCTGGAGCACCTTCTTCAACCATTCCCATAAAACCCACTTATCCTGAGTGGTCCCCAATATGCACAAATTGAAGCCTCTCAGCTACATTCTAATACTGGCTAGCAACTTCCATGTACCCAGAAGCAGTACTTATGTAGCAAGAGTGAATACCCAAAAGTTCTTGGGCTTGGCTTAATCACGAAGATGACACAAGCTCACACCCAGAGAGCTAAAATATAAAAACAAAATGGAATAGAACCAATGTGTTTAATGCTATTCAGAGAAACAGATTGCTCAGATTTGGAAAAGCTTATTAAGGTATTAGAGCTGAGCCAGGGGTTGGTGGAGCACGCCTTTAGTCCCAGCACTCGGGAGGCAGAGGCAGGTGGATCTCTGTGAGTTCGAGGCCAGCCTGGTCTACAGAGCGAGTTCCAGGACAGCCTCCAAAGCAATACAGAGAAACCTTGTCTTGAGAGAGAGAAAAAAAGTATTAGAGCTGAGATTTTTGCAATTAGTGTTATACTTTGAGACAACCAAGACCAGCAATCAGGATTGTCCAGTAAAGTTGATAGGCACTTATGGAAATTTCTAGAATGTGGTACTACAAAAACAAGGCAGTTTTCCACTGATCTCTAAGTTGCAAGCACTGAATCGAATGCCTGCTGGGGACAGTCCATTTGCCTCACCAGATCCCAACAAGCATTTCTCCCAACAAGACCCAAACATGGGGTGCTCAAGAAGTGGCTGGCCTCTGTCCAGCATACCCATATCACCTGTACTTCTGGCCCCAGAAAAGCATTCTAGGCTTATTTGCAGAACAGATGAGCACAGCTGTGCAGACCACCAGAGTAGTCCAGAGACCTGGGTCACAGTTGGAAAGGGCTCTACACTGAAGGCACACCTTGGTGAAGAACACCAAGTCAGCAGGACTCAAGATGACTCAGTGGGAAACAAGTAATCCCAGGCCATTTTTGGTGGGGTCCTTGTCACCTGGGCTAAAGAATGAAGAAGCTATGTCTTAGCTGTGGTGCTGAGGAATAGCAAAGGGCCTGAGGGATGTGGAGTCTCTGAAGGCATTATCAAGCAGGCATGTAACACCCAAATCTCTGAGATGTTAGGATGTGCGCGCACGTGCGCACGTACAGATACAGATACAGATACAGATACACATACACATACAATACACATACACACACACCCCTCCCTGAGGCTGCTCTAGCAGGTGGCAAACTCTCACCCATCCAACCATCCCTACTGTGAGATGACATATGAAAGGCCACTTCTGACCTGGCACAAGTAAGAACTGCTCAGCGGGGTCAGGAAAGGTCTCCCATGGGGATGAAGCCTGCCCAGCCCTATCTGGACTGCAGGCTGCAGCCAACAGGAGGTGCAAAAAGGAGCAAATCATAAGTGAGCCAGAGCCGGGCGGTGGTGGCACACACCTTTGATTGCGGCACTTGGGAGGCAGAGGCAGGCGGATCTCTGTGAGTTCAAGACCAGCCTGGTCTACAAGAGCTAGTTCCAGGACAGCCTCCAAAGCCACAGAGAAACCCTGTCTGGAAAAACAAGAAAAAACAAACAAACAAAAAAAGTGAGCCAGACATACATACTAGGTACAGCCAGTGCTGGGCAGCACATGAGGATACTGAACCTGGTGGGAAGCTGTGTTGGCTGGAGAAGGGAAAGTTAGTCTGTGGCACGGGTCTCCATGCGGGCATACTAGCCTGTGCTGTCAGGTTCTTAAGGTTCCTATGGGGCTGGCCTCAGTCTAGAACATTCTGCCTCACCACTCTAAAAACTCCTTTAATAACCCCCAAGAGGATGTTCAACCTCAGGACCAGTATCTTGGGAACTAAGACTCATCATTTAGCCCCTGCACCAAGCCCTGACTACCATACTCAGACCACACCCTCCCCCAGATACTAGGTTACCGGGTGGTGGCTAGGATGGCACTTACCTTCTCAAAGGCAGCCAAGAGCACATGAGCATGGCCTGTCACTTCCACAACTGAAGCAGGGAAAGACAAGAGAGGAGAGGCCAAAGTAAGGTCATGGCTGGGATGCTCACCCTTCCTCTGCAGGCATGATTTCTAGGTGCCACAACCTGTGGCATAGCCCAGAGTCCACTCCTGTTCTTGCCCTCATCTCACCCTCCTCTTCTGTCATGAGAAGGGCTGTGGGCTGTGATGGACACCCTCCATTTCCAGAAGAGGCCTTTTGATTACTCACAGAGAAGGAAGCCACTTCCTCCCCACAGGTCACACATACTTGAAAAGGAAGATGAGGAAAGACCAACAACACTCACCATCTCCTTCATCCACTACAGCCTGTATGACTACTGGAAACACACCCCGATCCAGGTCAAAGTTCAGCTGAGGACAGGAGGCAAAAATGGTCAGGCTTATGGACATCAAGTAGTAAGTTGGTTAGCTCAAACTGGAGCAGAGAGATGGAATCAAGGACACTCAGTGACACTAAACCATGTAGACCAACTCTCCAAATAGAAACTCCTTGCAAGAGGTATTAAGCCCCCATTCCCTCCTCTCTGTCCTTGACAACCACTCATCTGCTTTCCATAGCAGTAAGTGTTCCTATAATGAATCATTTAGTGTTCACCTAGCTTTTTTAAATAATGTGTTTAAATTTGTGTTATGTGCGTTGGTGTGAGGGTGTCAGATCCCCTGGAACTGGAGTCACAGACAGTTGTGAGCTGTCATATGGATGCGGATGCTGTATACCTAGCTTTTTTCACTGAGCATGCTTTCCGATTTCAGTAGAACCCCATTCCTTTTTACGGCTACATAGTTATTCTAGAGGGTAGGTAAGCCACACTGTTGTTGATCCATGGGCTGTTTCTACATTGTGACCACTGTGAACAATGTTATTATGTATCTGTTTAGCCTCTGTCATCCAGTCTCCTGAGTACATACCTTCCAAGTTTTGGGTTAAATTTGCTATGCAATTTGGGGAAAAGACGGAATGACAGTGAGACTCCTAGGTTCATTGTTCCCTTTCTCAAGTCAGCAGCTGCCATTCTTCCACTGAATGAGAAACCCCAGACCTGGTTCCATCTTCACGAACTCCCCTGGCCCTCACACCCTGCACCCTGCTAGCAGAGCAGTACTCTGGGATTCACCTGATCCCCATCCGCTGGGGCTACTCCCTGTAAACGCTCTCAGTTCCTGTTTCTTCCTGTCACTAGACTGTCCTCTGTCCCCAACTCCCTGACAGAAACTGTAGAAGATAAAATTCAGCCTACCCAGTCTCCAGAATCCTCCTGGGGTCTCAGGGAAACAGTAGGCATTTCCATTTATTCTCACTAAGGAGTTACTCAAGGAATGGTCAAGGGGCCAGGTATGGTAATGCACATTTATAATTCTAACTCAGGAAGCAGAGGCAGAGGGTGGTAAGCTCAGCAGTGAGGCCCTGTCTCAAACAATGGTGGTATACACCCAGGCAGGAGGATCTCTGTGAGTTCAAAGTTAACCTGGTCTACCTTGTGAGTTCTAGGCCAGTCAGAGATACACACTTGACAATGTCTCAAAAAAAGAAAGAAAAGAGAAGAAAAGAAAAGACCTTATAAACTCTATGAACATACTAAAAACCACAGAACCCTTAAAATGGGCAAGCCATGGCATGTGAATCACAGCACAATTAAGTTAAAAGCAAAACCAAGCCAGGTGGTGATGGCACACACCTTTAATCTCAGTACTCGGGAGGCAGAGGCAGGCAGATCTCTGTGAGTTTGAGACCAGCCTGGTCTACCGAGCGAATTCTGGAACAGCCAGGGCTACAGAGAGACCATGTCTCAAAAAAGTTATCAACACAGGGAATTTACCACTGCAAATATGGTGAGAAGGAAGTCAAAACACTACAAAAAAAAAAAAAAAAAAAAAAAAAAAAACCTTTCAGGAGCAGATGGTTATTTGAATGAGAACACCCCCCCTCCCACTCCCAGGGTCATACAGTTGAATGCTTGGTCCCATTAGTGAAACTCTTTAGGAAGGATTAGGAGGTGTGGTCTTGTTGGAGGAGGTGTGTCACTGGGGGGGTGGGCTTTGAGGTTTAAAAAGCCAACCCCCTCCGGGTCTCTTTCTGCCTGCAACTTTTGGCAAGATGTTAACTCTAAGCTACTACCCCAGTGGCATGACTGCTGACACCACACTCTGCACTGTGATGGTCAAAGACTCACCCTCTGAGACTGTAAGCAAGCCCACAATTAAATGCTTCCTTTAAAAGCTGCATTGGTGTCTGGCAGTAGTGGTGCACACCTTTAATCCCAGCACTTGGGAGGCAGAGTTTAAGGCTCTCTTGGTCTACAGAGTAAGTTCCAGACAACCAGGGCTACACAGAGAAATTCTGTCTCAAAAAACAAAACGAATAAACAAAAAGTTGCATTAGTTATGGCATTTCAGCACAGTGCAGGAATGGAGGCACACACAAGACTTCAGGCTTCCAATCCAGTGCTGTGATCATTCACTGTGAACAAGCCTCAACCTGAGCCTCAGTTTCTTATCTCTAGAGGAACAGAAGCCAATCCTTTTTGTTTGTTTGTTTGTTTTTGTTTTTCCAGACAGAGTTTCTCTGTGGCTTTGGAGGCTGTCCTGGAACTAGCTCTTGTAGTCCAGGCTGGTCTTGAACTCACAGAGATCCACCTGCCACTGCCTCCCGAGTGCTGGGACTAAAGTCGTGCACCACTACCGCCCGGCCAGAAGCCAATCTTAGTGCAAGGCTGAGCACAATGCCTGGGTCAACATGCTTAACTCAACACAATTCCTTCTGTGTTGAGGCTATGGAGTCAAGGAAGACTTGTGAGCAGGAAGGAGGATATAGAAAATAGACAGGTATAGCAGCAGGTGTCCATGCAGAACAGTTAGCACCAGACTGGGCAGGGGCACTATGGAACAGCAAGAAGGCGATAAGCCCTGCACATTTACACAGAGCAGAATTCCTCACAAACTGGGACTTAAGAAAGCAAGTGGCCTTCCTGGGTTAGGGCCTTGCTCTGTGATAGCAGAGTGATGATGCTGGCCGCATGCTGCCCTTACAAGGTCCATATACTAAGCAAGGAGAGGAACACTCACACAGGAACTGGTTGTTGGGGTGTTAGTTAGGTGAGCTAGCCAGAAAAAGCAGAACCCTGTGCCCACCCTAGGCTGCAAGTTGATAGGGCACCAAGCCTGAGTGCATTGGAGTCCTTTATGCTCTGAGCAGACTCCAAGTATTCTGTGCTGTTCTCAGCTGTACTCTGCATCCTGGAAGGAGCCAGCTGTGCTGTGTGAACTAAGCACAGAAAACAATGGTCTGGGGAAGGGTGTTCAGTGATTCTGGTCCTGTCCTCCTCTCCCTGTGGTATTCCTGGGCTTATAAAGCACTTTGCATATCACAGCTCCCTCAGACACTCCCACTCCTGAAGTCTGCAACACAGCCATGCATCATAACACTTACACAGAGTAGCCTTGAACCAAGTGAGTGACAATGAAAGAAGACAGGCTTCACCACCAGGGGTAGCCTGAGGAAGATGCTTGTTTTATTTTCAAATTTTATGTGCATGGGTGTTTAACCTGCATGTATGTTTGTGCAGCAGCTGAGTGCCTGGTTCCCAAGGAGGCCAGAAGGAGGAACTAGAATTACAAACTGTTTTGAGCTGCCATGTGAATTCTAGGAATCAAAACTCAGGTCCTCTCCAAGAGTAGCCAATACTCTTAATCACTGTGCTATCTCTCTAGCCCATTTGTTTTATTTTTATATTATTATTGTTTTGGTTTTTTTGAGATGGGGTTTCTCTGTGTAACAGCTCTAGCTGTCCTGGAACTCACTCTGTAGACCATGCTGACCTTGAACTCACAGAAATCTGCCTTCCTCTGCCTCCTGAGTGCTAGGATTAAAGTCATATGCAGCCACTGCTCAGCTATTTGTTTCATTTTTAACATAAAACAAGAGAAACCCTCATAGGGAAAGAGACTACTGGAGCAGGAAGGAGCCCAGGCAGCTGCTACCAGCATGAGTAACACCCAAGTTCTTATATCTGGAGACCAGTAAGAGCCTTGGGATTTCACACAGGGTCTCCCAGGCAGGGTCTCTGCAGATGGCTGCTGGGAAATAAGGACAGAGAAGAAAGGCTCTGACAGAACTAAGTAGACACCACAGGCAGAGAAGGGAGAGGAGTAGGGAAAACCAGCAGAAAAGCTATTCACGCTGTAACCCACAAGAGGCCTGTAAGGAAAGCCTGTGCTGCGAGGCAAAGCTATCTATGTGAATCAGAAAGAAAAGGAAAAGGCTGGTTCTGGGGCAATGTCAATGGGGGAACCTCTCTAACTCTGCTCCTTTCCAGAACCCATGACTACCACACTTCTGGTCACTAAGCATGGCCTACACCTTACTCCTTAGTCCCCCTGCATATCTGACCCAAGACAAAAAGACCTAACCATTCCTAGGCTGCCAGCACCAGGAGGAATCTCCATGGGCCCCAGTATAACATACCAGCCAGAAGACAGAGAAACCAGAGAAGGAACAAGAGAAAGTAGGGGATCCCCCAGAGTTACCTCATCATCCTTCCACTGGGAGAAGTCAATCTTGAAAGAAGGCAGGGAGAACTGCTGGCTAACGCCCCTCTTGTAGTGGACGGTCTCAGACTGCAGAGAAGGGTTCTTACAGCTGTACCTGAGGGCAGCAAGGCAGCCACTTGACTCCTGTGGAGCCATGGGTCCATACACCCAGCCTCCCACCTCCTCCTGTTACTCATCGGATAGCCAGCTGAGCTATTTTATAGGGAATGAATATCTTATCCCTATTTTATAGGGAATGAAAGCCTCAGTCATCCCAAATGGAAACAGGAAGCAGCCCACTTGGCCAGCTAGCCCTTGCTCTTACAGGAGCCTCCCACTACCAGCTCTGTTCACCACAGGCTGCCCAGTCCTGTCAAAGAACCATTTCTTCCAGAACCAAGTCCTCTGCTGACCTCTGGATAGGAAGAATATTCCTACAAGGCATTTAGTGCATTTACTTTTTCAGAATGACCATAGCACAGAACTCCCTGTCCCAATGCTTGTTTCTAGCTGCCTGCTTCTCAGTTGCAGCCAGGTACTGCTCATGAAAAGTACTGCACATGCATGACCACACAGGGTGAGGCCTTCACTTCAATGTGGGTCATGTTCTGAAGCATCCTGTCACCCTCATGAGTGTCATGTTCTCTGAGCCATGCTGTTCTACTGCAGCTTTGCTCTAGTGACCCAGAGACTCGGTCCCTGCCTTGCTAGTCCCCACAGTGCTCCAAAGACCATCCTTTCATTTGTGCAGAAACTCATCTCATACCCCAGGCTGATCATTAGACAACAACTACAATAGGGCTGGAGAGATGGCTCAGAGGTTAAGAGCACTGGCTGCTCTTCCAGAGGTTCAGTTCCCAGAAACCACATGGTGTCTCACAACCATCTGTAATGAGATCTGGTGCCCTCTTCTGGCATGCAAGCAAACACACAGGCAGAATACTGTATATGTAATAAATAAAATCTTTTTTTTTTTTTTTTTTTTTTTTTTTTTTTTTTTTTTCAAGACAGGGTTTCTCTGTGTCTTTGGAGGCTGTCCTGGAACTAGCTCTTGTAGACCAGGCTGGTCTCGAGATCCACATGCCTCTGCCTCCTGAGTGCTGGGATTAAAGGTGTGCGCCACCAACAGCCAGCTAATAAATAAAATCTTAAAAAAGAAAACAAGGGTTGAACCAGTGTCCCCCATTCATGAACACAAGCCATGACCCTCACTGTTCCCACCCCCACCCCTGCTTACTGTCCCAGGGCTTCTCTGAGTATCCAGAACAAAGGCCACACTCAAGAGTCTGAAAAGCTGGGGGATGTCCCTGTCAGTACTGGTACGGGAGGGAACCCCACAGATCAGTCCAGCCTGGATGCAGAGAAAAGGTCAGCCCAGAAAGGAATCTTAGCAGTCTAGGCTTCAGTTATAAGCTGTGGAACGCCAGAAGCACCCTATTTCAATTTTTCTTGACAAGAAGTTAAGGAGCAAGAAAGGAACAGGGCAGCCCGCCCTGCAACTCAGGACAATATCCCTGCAGGCTGCATTTAGGTTCCCAAGCACAGCCTTATTTAAGGCCTGGGTCCTGGAGCCTCCTGTTTCTGTCTTGGTGATCTGATGCTAGTAACATATAAGCCAGCAAAATGTGAGGCAAACAGGCCTAATGCAAGTCTCAGAAGAGGTCTACCAGAATGCATCTCTCGGCAGCCATCTGGGTAGCAGCAGGGCCCTGTTCTCACTATCTCACAGGACACAACAGAGAACAATTGATCTGGACAGGCTGGGGTTGGAGCCCACTGGACCTTGGCCCTCACTTCTTCTGGAGCAGCTCCAAGGTGCCTGCCCAAAATCTATGGCAGCTGTGCTCCAGGACAACTCAGAAACAGCTCCTCTTCTCAATTGTCATCACACTGGAGGCCCAGGGAGAGCACCATATCACAGGATCATACTGCTTCAGGCCGCAGCAGGTTAGCAGCTCACCCCAGGGCTTGTGTAGGAAGAGGGCTTGTGCTGGCCACTCTGTACACTTCCTGCTGACAGTCAGTACTACTGTTAAGTAAGTATCTTAGTAAATGTAACTAAGTAACCACTGTTTAAGGCACAGTAGAACCTCAAAGAACTGTGAAAAAGGCATTAACTTCAAAATTGCCCACTGCCACTCAGGAGGGAGTCTGTTGGTTGCCCAGGGCCAAGTCCTGAGTCCTAGAGGAAAACCTTTTCTCAACCATCAGCTAGCTTTGAGCAGCTATTACGCCCCCCCCCCCTTATGTATGGGAAGCTGTTCAAGGACACCATCCATAAGAGATGAACTTCCCAACCTTATTCCCAGCTGAGGAAACTGAGGTCCAAGCCGTTATATGCTCTAACCACATCAGCAGGCACAGAGCTGAGAAACACTCAAATCCAGCATTCTCAGTCTTCCTTACTCCCAAGCATTAGATCTGTGCCTTTTCAAGGTCTTCTCCAAAGCAGGAAGAATACAGACATGTTTCTGCCCATCTGTGAGGCCACTCAGGCCAGGGCTGGCTTTCCTGCTGAGGCAGCTCCTGCCATGGTCATACTATAGCTACAGGCTGCAAAATCCTGGGACTGTCAAGACTCATATTTTAAAGAAACTCTCTAAAAGTTCAAATGTGTAATTGTGACACACACACACACACACACACACACACACACACACACACAAATGTATTTGGTCTCTGCCCAAACTCCTGACATAGAGCTCCCAATCTTTTGAAGTTTTCTGGGTGCTGGGTGTCTCTCTATCCAAAGGAGGTAATTCTATGGAGGCTTCTGGAGGAGGTTGGTGACCAGAAAGACCATGAAGTGGGGGAACTTTCAGCCCAATGCCCTCTCCAGGAAGGGGAAAAGGCTGCAGAGTGAGCAAACAATGAAGCCCACAGGACACTGCAAAGCATGTATAAAGCCCAAAGTGCTGGCCCAGGGACTTACACTGCCATGCCGTTCAAGAACTCCTCTACTGCCTGACAATAAATGGTGATAGCCACACGGGCATCAGCATCAAAGGTGAATTCCAAACTGTAGAGCACACGGGGCTTCTCACCATCCTCTGTAGGGCTGTCTGCATCATCTTTGTACCTACCAAAAGGGGACAGAAGATGGCAGGTCAGGAGCCATAGCCTCCAAGAACTGGCTTGCGCACACAGCTGCAGGTATAAAGTTAGCTGTTTGGGTAAGTCTGCTTTGCTAGCAAAGGTGGAGGGAAGCCTGTTGCCTGTGGCACAACAAGACCCAATCCACAGTCTGCTCCCTTTCTTCCTGCCTCTAGAAACAAGGAACAATTGTTCTTGGTTTGGATGTCTTAGGTTTAAAGCCTTTTGTTTGTTTGTTGTGTTTTTTTGGTTTTCCAAGATAGGGTTTCTCTGTGGCTCTGGAGGCTGGCCTGGAACTAACTCTTGTAGACCAGGCTGGTCTCAAACTCACAGAAATCCGCCTGCCTCTGCCTCCCGGGTGCTGGGACTAAAGGCATGGGACACCACTGCCTGGCTAAAGCCATTTTGTATGCTATTGCTAACCAGACTGACTCATCCCAGGTGGAGCTGCCCCATGCACAGAAGGAAACTGAGCGTATTCCCTGGTCTCCAGGCTTCAGATGCAGTGGCACTGGATAGCCAGTGACACCAAGGTACAGCTGCAAGGGTGGGAGAGCCCCTAGTTTGATGGCTCAGGGTCCTGTTACAGAAGCTGACTGCATGTGAGAACAGAGCCTAGGCCCTCTCAATATCCCTTCCCCCTTCCCAAACACAGCCAGAGCTTCCAGGCACCACACAGGGTGCCCAGGAGGGCAGCACTAGGAGAGTTACCTCACAAGCCGGAGGGAATCTTTGTGGATGTTCACCAGGCTCCTCAGGGTCTTTACTGGCTCATGTGGGGCAGGAGTGACATAGGGAAACTAGGAGAGAAAAATACAAGTGAAAATAGATGACTCTCTAGAAGCAGCAGAGAATAGGAGACAGAAGTCAAGAGAGACCCCAACAGGTATTCTTGGGCTCTGGTCCCCATGTGAGGGGTTGAACTGATACTGGACATACTGCTCAGATGACACTGGCCATTTGGTCAGGATGTGGGCAAGGACTGGCCCCACACCAAGCGACTTGGTTATTCAGCCAGTGTCCTCAACTCTATGCAGGACCCTCAGAAGCGGCCATGGTTAGGCTCTTAGGACATTCTCCTATGGTACGATACATCTCACTGCTGCCCACAAAGACAGTTTGCATAACACCAACAAGCAAGTATTTGGGAAGACAACCTATGTACATGTATACATGCTTATAATTATGCCCCTATATAAAAATGTATATAACTGGTGACATAAAACTATGACTGTATCTGTCTATGTCTCCTGCCAGCAACAGTGTGCTGGAGCTTGAAAGGAGAGATTAAGCTGGGTAAAGGCACATAGATTGTACGTGTTCTCTATTACAACCCAAGTGGATGCCCAACTGTCTCAGCATGAAGTAAAAATAAAAGATCTGGAGGCTGGAGAGATGGCTCAACAGTCAAAAGCACTGGCCGCTCTTCCAGGAGATCTGGGTTCCATTCTCGGCACCCACATGGCAGCTCACAACCACCTGTAACTACAGTTCCAGGGATATGATGCCTTCTTCTGGTTGGTGTCCACTGGTACTGCATGCACACACCTCACACATAAACACTCAGGCACACACATACAAACAAAACAAACAAAATCTTTTTTAAAAAATTAAAAAGAACCACAGAAGGCCTGAAAAAGCTAAGACCTGGGAGTTGAAGCAACAAATGTGACAGAGAAAAAGGTCTAGGCTAGTTCCCAGGTAGGAGAGGACAACACCTATCCCAGCCCCTGGCCTGCAGGATATACTACAGATCAAGATTTTGTGTTAGCAACCTGTGACTAACACCCCTAGAAACTCCTGGTCTGAAGGCCCTCAGTAGGCCTGAAAGATGCTCAGGATGCAGTCATGTTGCATGTTGGAGACTGGAGCTCAGGTTCCTTAGAGGGCCTCCTGTCTTGCCTATCATTTAAAAACTCTGCTCAGGGATTTTCTACCTGCCCTTGTTCCTCTCCACTGGACCCTATTCTTAGGCATCACACTCAGACCTAGTCATATGGGCACTGCCCCCTGCAAATCCTCTGCCTCCTGGTGCTCCTTGCTCTTGCATACCTGGGAGCTATCGTACTTTCTTCAATACTTCCCACAGGAAACCTCTGCTCCTCCTTCTCATCCTCACCTGACATCATCCATCCTAAGATATTTCCACAACCCATCCCAATGCCTTTCTTGCCCTAGGCTGACCTCCCTTACTTCCTGAAGGCTAACTGAAAGTCCATTTGACCACCCTGATTCTAACTCATAGCAGGTGTGCTGTCTGGTTTTATGTCAACTTGACACAAGCCGGAGTCATCAGAAAAGAGGGAACCTCCATTGAGAAAAATGCTTTCATAAGATCAGGCTGTAGGGAAGCCTGTAGGGCATTTTCTCAACTAGTAATAATGTGAGACTGCCTAGTCCATTGTGGGATGGATTCTATAAGAAAGCAGCCTGAGCAAGTCATGGCCTCTGTATCAGCTCCTGCCTCCAGGTTCTGCCCTGTTTGAGTTCCTGCCTTGGTTTTCCTCACTGGACTATGATTCAGGATTTGTAAGCCAAATAAACCCTTTCCTCCCCAAATTGTTTTTGGCCATGGTGTTTCATCACAGCAATAATAACCCTAACTAAGACAAGAAGCATACCCTCTGGCACTGAGCTTACTTTTTCAGGGTTCCAGCATATACTGAAGACCAGATGAGACATGCAGCCTTGTGGACTGAGTAACCACTGGATTCTTGGACCCTCCATTCATAGCCAGCCATGGCTGGATTAGCTGCAAACACCCTGTAAATCAGTCTAATACAACCCTTTCTATATACATACACAGATTCATACTATACATTCTGTTTCTCTAGAGAACCCTGACTAATAAACCCTCCCACCTATTTCACTGCCCACCAGCTGCCATGCAGAAGGCCCCACACCTTGCACACTCACTGCTTGCTGGAAGCCTGTTACAGGCCACTCCAGCTCCTCCTCTCCATCTAGCACAACTCAACCCAGACATGGACTCTGCAGTGGGATCCTTTCCTCTTTTGTTTGTTTTTCTGTCCCTCTTCTTCTTTTTCTTTTTCTTCTTTTTAACTGCCCGTCCAGTATTTCCTTCTTTATGATCCTCACCATCTGAGAAATGGGGAAAGGCCTGACTTCAGTCTTCAGGCCCTATGCAAGAGCCCTAGACATACACCAGTTGCCAAAGTTGTACTGAAGGAATGGACAAATATGCTTAAATATGTGTTTCTTTGGAGATTAGTGGGATCATGGCTCTTTTCCACCATTCCACAGAATATGGCTGCTCTTTCTGCTCGTACAAAAAAGCCTAGAATGAAATCACTAACTTTGTGCAGCCTGGATGTACTAGCTCAATAATGGCTGTTCTGTCCCTCAGTGACCCAATCCTGACTGACTGTCTCGCAGAGGCAGCCCTAGGACACACTCCAAGTCACATGCTCACTTCCAGCTCTGTCAATCTGGGGTAACTTGGTGCCTGCTCATCCTCACAATTGGAGAGAGGCAATTGAGACAGTCTTCCCACTACTCACCCCAGCCATCAGTGCCAGCCTGCTGAGACCCACCTGGACTGGACGACTGCCCAGGAAGTTCAGATCCATGTTCTCTCCAAAGAGGTAACCTTCAGGATGAGGGGTGTCAAATTTCTCGCCTCCCATGAAAAAGTGTGAAGCAAAGTAGTTTCCTGCTTAAAAAAGGACACAAGTTTGTCCATAGAACACAGTGCTCAGCACAACTCTGTGGGAACAACCAACATAGTACTCAGCACAACTCTGTGGGAACAACCAAGAAGCCCCCAGGGCTTCATTCTAAGTGGCTCATTTTGTCCTGGTTCTGTCCTCCACCAGCCTTCTATAAACAACTGGCATCTTTAACATGCCTCTCCCTGCTCACAGATAACAGCAAGTTCTGGAATTGAATGCCACTGTCCTCAGGAGTCAGGTCAGCCATATCCCTAACTACAAAGACATGTTCCAGTTCCACCCTGTACCCTTGCTTGGAAACAGGTGGTTAGTCTCGATGAAACCCCAGAGGACTAGGGAAACTCTAACCCCAGTGATGACGCATGTATGAAAGAGGGCGATGTGGACACAAATGTAGACAGAGGGAAGGAAGGGGATGTAGATACAGGCAGAGACTGGACGGAAGTGCTGCCAGAGGTAGTAGAATGGATCTTCCAGAAGTCTAGAAAGGGGCAAGAAAGGATTCTCATTGAAGCCTTCACTGGGTGCACAGCCCGGCAAGATCTTGATTCCTGATTCCTGGCCTCCAGAATTGTGAGGGGACACACAGTACTGATTTTTTTTTTTTTTTTTTGGTTTTTCAAGACAGAGTTTCTCTGTGTAGCTTTGTTTGGAGCCTATCCTGGCACTCACTCTGGAGACCAGGCTGGCCTCGAACTCACAGAGATCCACCTGCCTCTACTTCCCGAGTGCTGGGATTAAAGGCGTACACCACCAACACCCGGCCACACAGCAGTGATTTTTTTTAATTTATTTATTATATATACAGTGTTCTGTCTGCATACCAGAATAGAGCACCAGATCTCATTATAGATGGTTGAGAGCCACCATGTGGTTGCTGGGAATTGAACTCAGGACCTCTGGAAGAGCAGCCAGTGCTCTTAACCTCTGAGCCATCTCTCAGAGTCACTGCTGATGGTCACTTGTCATAGCTTCTCCAGAAATCCCCACATAATTCTTGTCCTCACACTCTCTGTTCCCTGCCTCCCAAATCTGAGCCCCATAAACCTAATACCAGTGATGATTAAGGTTTAAAATTTGATGTAGATCTGGATTCTTTCTCACAACTACTGAAACATTAAGTGGTTTCCACCTAGACCCCAGAGCACTTAAAACACTAAACTTAAAGGGCAGGAGACATGGCACAATGGTTAAGAACACTGGCTGCAAGCCTGGCGTTGGTGGGGCACACCTTTAATCCCAGCACTCGGGAGGCAGAGGCAGGCAGATCTCTGTGAGTTCAAGGCCGGCCTGGTCTCCAGAGTGAGTGCCAGGATAGGCTCCAAAGCTACACAGAGAAACCCTGTCTTGAAAAAAAAAAATTAAAACCACTAAACTTACATTTCTCCCGAGGAAAATAATGAAAGGCTTCAGATGTTCAAAGAATTGAGCACACAAACCCCTAAAGAAACCCAGAAGCCAGGCCTCTCGAAAACTTCCAGCCTGAGGCTAGCCTACCACACCCAGTACTCTCCAACACAGACAACCTGAGCAGAAGCCTAGGTGACCATGGACCCATGAATGCTAGAACTGTTCATATCCCTCAACTTTATGAGCATCAGTAACTTCTGGGCCCCCAAATCCACGAGTGTTCTTCTTAGGGTCCCAGTAGGAATTTTGAGCTTCTCAGGCAACCAGGAACACCCAGCAGGGACCTGCGACTTTCCTGACATTTACAATCCCAGCTATGGTAGTAATAGACAAGGCAAGTAAGGCAACTCAGGGCCCAGGAGATAAGGTCAGGCAGCTCTTACCCAGGGTAGGAGCTCAGAGCCAGGAGGCCAGCTCAGCTGTCCCTGACTACAGGAGCAGCAGACAGGACCTAACCTCAACTCTAGTGCTAGCCTCCCATGTGTACCAGTCAGTCAACCGCAGCCAAACAAAAAGAACAATGTGACAATATGACAACTAGTTCAAAACATAATACTTGGTTTTTATAGATTGCTTCACAGTGCTCCATAAAAGACTTGCACATACTGGCATGGAGCAGAATGATTTATACACATGTAGAATGATATGTGCTAGTAAGATCAGAAGAGCATGCTGTGGGCTGGAGACATGGCTCAGTGGTTAAGAGCACTGACTGCTCTTCCAGAGGACCCAGGTTCAATTCCCAGCACCCACATGGCAGCTCACAACTGTCTGTAACTCCAGGATCCACCCCCCTCACACAGACGTACATGCAGGCAAAATACCAATGCACACAAAATAAAAATAAATATTATTTAAAAAAAAGAAGAAGAAGAAGAACATGCTGCATGTACTCCTGGATCCCGTTTGGACAGACATACAACACAAGCTATGAGAACAAACAAAATGGTCGCAAAAGGTATGTCCGAAAAGTTACCAGACAAAGCCATGTGAGGTCCAAGAAAAGGACCAAAGCCCTGGCTTTCTGTTCTGCAATGGGTTTTTGCAATAAACATGTAATGTGGCGGCTCTGTCAACAAAGAGAATGAGTGCAACAAAGAAAAGTATAAGGACATCTTCCCAAATCACCTGCAGTCACACGCAGCCTGCTGCCCTAAAAGCACTGGTACATATGAGCACCTGTGGAGAGAGAATCTCAAGGCACAGGTGGTTTCCGATCATGTCTGGCCCTTGGCTTTAATCCTGGCCAACATCTATCCATCCAATAGTGAGTCTGAACCACAGGACAGATGAGTGGGACTTTGACCAGGAGCTACAAAACAGCCTATTCTGTCCTTACATACACAGTACATCAAATGAATGGCTGCGAGGAAACTTGCCTGTGCTAAGGTTCTTCTGATAGGCTGGCACTGCACTAGCTATGCAGCAAGAGATGCAAAAGGAGGTGCAAGGAAGATGCAACTAGATGCAAGAAGTCCACTGATACCACACATGACCTATGATCCAATGCTTAAATACCCTTGGAATACCCCACAGCAAGGGTAGCCTTGGTCTCAAAGTAGGCTTGAGAGAAGGCACAATGGGCACAAAAGCTGAGATGCCCCAGAGTCCCAAGCAGGATATAGGTACCTGGCTAGGAAACCTCCTACCCTAACCTCCTCCAGAGGTCCTTTAAGAAACAACCACATTGTGAACCAACAGACGCCAAACACTGATGTAGAAGCCAGCCTCCAAGATGGTCTCAAGTGCAATAGAACCCCAGAGGAAACAGAAAAGGATGAGCACATAACCAGGAGCTCTGTGAAGTGGTGGGGTATGATTTCAAAGACCCCAGGCAAGGCAGATACTACCTACACTTGAGTACACACACAAACACACAACTGAGGACACGACTGCTCTGTGGCATGGTTAAGGATAAGGTTTTTATTGTAGGTATGAGAGGAGAACACCCAGAGGCATCAAAAAGAGTCCAGAGCAGAGAGAGAAAGTAGACTGAACACGGCCATGACAGAAGCAAGAGCAGAAGAGGGGGTGAGGGTAGTAAAGAGAGAATAAGAGAGTGAGCACAGCCAAAATAGTAGGGTTATAAGGAGAATGAATAGCTAGAGGGAAGCCCATGAACTGGGGGAGTTTATGGTAGGGGAGGAGGTGAGAAGGGCTAGGATGCTAGCCTGGACTCTGAAATATATAGCAGGTACTTGAGATACCGAGGGAGCCTGGAGGCCAGCATTGCTTTGATATGCTATAGATACCACAGATAGCCACTTGTCCCTTCTGCCTTTTGGAATATAGGGAAATGGGAGTTTTCTTTGGACCTGACACTGGGAAGATGGCTCAATGGATAAAGTCACTTGCCACCAAGCTGGATGACTGAGCTCTATTCTTAGGACTCACATGGTAGAGAGTCCTTTGACTGCCATCATTGCATGTGCACACACCCCCACACACTCACAAATGAATTAATAAAATGTAATGAAAATTTTTAAAAAGAAAAAAGAGAATGAGCCGGGCTTTGGTGGTGCACACCTTTAATCCCAGCACTCGGGAGGAAGAGGCAGGTGGATCTCTGTGAGTTCAAGACCAGCCTGGTCTCCAGAGCCAGTGCCAGGATAGGCTCCAAAGCTACACAGAGAAATTGTCTCGAAAATACAAAAAGGGGGTGGGGGGTTGGCGGAGAGAGAATGAAAAAGGCAAAGCATGCACTGGAGTCCAAACCAGGAATTTAGGGCAATTTGGGCAATTTCAACTCAAAAACAAAAAAGGAAAAGCACAAACCAACCTGGAGAGAGCTAAGGAAAAAAGATCTGGAAGGATCCACAAGAAACCCTATTGATAAATCTCAGAGGAAGTCAGAAAAACATGAAGTGGGAAACAACCCCAATACTCTTTGCAAAACCAACTGCACTGCTAATTCTCACCCACTCATTCAGCTTCTTGTTGCTGCTTTAATTTATCAGAGAGAATCTGGGACTAGGTAAGAGGTTCTTAGTCTAGACCAGTGATTCTCAACCTTCCTAATGTGTAACCCTCATGTTGTGGTGACCCCCAACCATAAAATTATTTTTGTTGCTTTTTCATAACTGTAATTTTGTTTCTTTTTTGAATTGTTTTTTTTTTTTAGTTTTTTTGGTTTTTTTTTTTTTTAGAAAGGGTTTCTCTGGGTACGTTTGGAGCCTATCCTGGCATTGCTCTGGAGACCAGGCTGGCCTCAAACTCACAGAGATCTGCCTGCCTCTGCCTCCGAGTGCTGGGATTAAAGGTGTGTGCCACCAACGCTCCCCTTTTTTTGCTACTGTTATGACTTGTACTGCAAATATTTGATATGCAGAATATCTGATATGCGACCCCTGTGAAAGGGTTGTTTGACTCTAAAGGGATGTGACCCACAGATTGAGAACCACTGGTCTAGACCCTTAAACATTTGCAACCAAACCCACTAGCCTTTGACTCAGACCTGGTCTGAAGGCAACTTGCTCAGAAAGGCCTTCCCTCAGCACCTCAACACCCTACACTCTCCCGTGAGCATGAAGGCAGAGGCCCTGCATCTGGGTGTGAGGTGCTTCTCATCTTGCCT